ACATAAACTGGCAGCCAGAAGGGGGAAAACCGCATTAGTAAAAAAAAAATCCACCCCCCCCCAACAAAACAGAGGCAGGGCAAAAGCCACGAAGCCCAATCAGTGCCCTTCCAGCGCACTAGGTCAGGGAGCAGGAGAGAACGGTAATTGGGGTTTCTCATATAGGGACGCAGTGCACATAAACCCCACCTTAAGAAAAGTGATAGTCCAGGATCTGAAGGTACAAAATGAGTCATATTTAGAAGAACTCATTCACAACATTAAAGAATTCTCCTCTTCGCTGCAGGACTCACTTGTGCACTGTAACCCCACAATTTACCCCCCAAATATCCAATTTTCACTGAAAAGTTGGGGCCACAGAAAAAAATCACAGAAATAATAATGACATCAAAAATGGACAAAGCCTTAACAACCCAGACTAAAAGCAAAGATGCACGTCTGTTTGATAAAAGAATAATAATAAATGAAAATGAAGTGGATGGAGCACTGTTTTAAGTGCTTTCCCTGGATTTTCTTTTGTCACAAAGACCACATAAAGTAAGTACTTTTATCATCACCATTAGTCTGTAATTAGGATGCTAAAATTCAGAGAGGTTAGTCCACTTGCCCAGGGTCACACAGGAAGAAAGGAACTCAGGCAGTTGCCTGGGAGCCTTTTCCATACTGCTGGTTCCTCCTCAGAAAGGGGACCTGGGTGGGGGAGGGGGGCACTCACACAGGAGCTGCAGTCAGAGGGCTGGAAGCCCAGCTCCCTCCCTATCCCCCGGTTAGTGGCCTTGGACCCAGGACGGGAACAGACTACTGTAGGAGCCAGAGCTGGGGCACCTGCAGGCCAGGTAAATGTACATGAGCAAAACTGCTAACTAGCAGGGACCTGTAAGATCCACGGGACAGCAGAATTCAGCTCATTGCCACCAGACGGGAATTTAGGTTGGTGTGTTCAGCAATTCGGATTTTTTCAGGAGAAGTCAGAGATCTGGGTTTTTTAATGCAAACTCTTTAGCTGTTAAATATTAGCTCAAAAAAAAAAATTGAGAATGCTGTATCAGACAAACAAAAAATGTCTGTGTATCGCATACAGCTTAGGGGCCTCCAGTTTTCAACCCCTGGACGAGAACACTGTTTCTGTATTGATCCCACAGTAAGCCATGGTCCCAAAGCCTCGAAAGTGAAACTGGCTGTTCTGAAATAAGATGTACTATCTGGGGGTGCTGGGAAGTGAAGTCAGTGGGATTGGCGCTGACTCTTGGGTTTTCTTCAGCGTCATGATCATGACTTCATGGGTTCAAGCCCCGCCTCCGGCTCTGAGGACAGCATAGAGCCTGCTTAAGATTCTCCTTCTCTCCCTCTCTCACCCACCACCCCCATTCGTGCTTTGTCTCTCTCAAAATAAATAAATAAACTTAAAATAAAATAAGATGTTCTGCCTGTAGTTATGTTCGGCTTTTAGAATATTCACGCTAGAGGAATTTACAAATTGGCAGTGGGTTAAAATCCCACTTCATGGGTGCGATGTGGTCCGTGAGTTAATTTACGTCAGGCTCCTGGGCCTGTTGGCTCAGAGCCTGGAGCCTGTTCGGATTCTGTGTCTTTCCCTGTCTCTCTGCCCTCCCCGTGGCTCTGTCTCTCTCTCTGTCCCAATATTAAAACAGTTGGAAAAAAAAAAAAATGTCCCGCTGACCTCTCCTAGAATGAAATAACATAGAATCAAACACCATCTAGCGCGCATGCGTGAAATGGGGGGCAAGGATGGGGCAATGTGCGGGTCCTCTGTCTAGCTCAGGATCCGGTGGGTTCAGGCGAGCTGTCACAGAGGTCAAGGTCTGGAAAAAACAAAGGCCGTTTCAAGCAAGGAGTGTGCACTGAGAGAAATGGCATTTGGTCCTGCGGGGGGCGGGAGGAGGGCTCTCCTTTTTATTCATGTTTATTCATTTTTGAGAGGGGGAGGGGCAGAGAGAGGGGGACAGAGGATCTGAAGCCAGCTCTGAGCTGACAGCAGTCAGCTTCCCAAACTTCCCAAGTTAGAAGCTTAACTGACTGAGCCACCCAGGGGCCCCCAGCACCCTCGCTCCTACCCAGCTCAGAGAGTCCCCGGCCAGAGGAAGAGGGAGAGAAATCACAGTGCCTCCCACATGCTCCAGAGTCCTCCCAAGCTTCCAGACCCATCCACCCACTAGCAAGGGAAGCCGCTTCATCTCTGAGCCTCAGATTCCAGATCCACACGATGGGGATAACGGTCCCCACCTCAAAAGGTCATTGTGAGGGTCTGAACAGCCTCAACAGTTGAGGTCCTGGGTGTAAAACCCTTAGGACAATGCCTGGCCCCATGTGTTCAACGAATGTAAGTGGGTTTCACTGGGACGGGCTGGACTGGCTACTGGAAACAGCCGTGACCTGGGATCCAAGAGGGTAGGACAAAATCTCACCATCCTCGAGATTTTCAGGACGTGGTCCACTCCTATTACTATCAAAGTTTTCAACAATAATAACAAGCTGATACTTGCTGAATGCTACTAGGTGCCAGAGAGTGAATGTAACATTTTAGACGGATCATCTCATTTTGTCATACGAGCTACTTCAGAAGAGGAGACCATCATTACCCCACTTAACAGATGAGAAAAGTAAGGCCCTCAGTCTGGGGTGCCCAATATGGTGGCCACTGGCCACACTAATGACACACGCACTAATCACAATTCAAGTGTTCAAGAGCAAACACGTGGCTGTGACTACCATATCGGACAGCACAGGTACAAAACATTTCCACCATAGCAGAAGGTTCTTCTGGGCAGCACTGGTCTAAGAGGTAATGTGATTTGGCCACGGTGACTGAGCTAATGAGTAGCAGGGCTGGAAGAGGACCCAGTTGAACGGAGAACCACACTCTTAACCATCTGGACAGCATCGAAGATCCTCTGTGCCTTCACCCAACACATATTTATGGAGGGCCTACCGTGTGCCAGGCACAGGCAAAACCCATCTCTCCAAGGGACCAGCATCAGCCGGTAAGGGGCAGGGGACAGGGGACGGTCTCTAGTCACCTCTAGGACTTCCTTGCGCACATCGACGATCCGGAACCAGTGCCGGAGCTGGGGGAAGCCGTCCAGCTCGGCGTTGCGTTCCTGCAGGGCCACCTTCTTCTTGCAGGACAGCTGTCGGCTGAAGTATTTCACCAGCTTGCTCTGGGGAGACACAGAGGAGAACAGAGGACACATCTCAGAGACACCACCATAGGAGAACAAGCAAGAATCTTCCCATTGCCTTCACCCTGCCCGAAAACCATCCAACTCCCATTCTATTTTTTTTAGTTTATTTACTTTGACAGACAGAGAAAGAGAGCAAGCAGGGGGAAGGGCAGAAAAAGAGAGACAGAGACAGAGACAGAGAGAATCCCAAGCAGGCTCCACACTGTCAGCACATAGTCCTACGTGGGGCTCGAACTCACCAACAGCGAGATCATGACCTGAGTCGAAATCAAGAGTCAGTTGCTTGACCCACTGAGCCACCCACACACTGCTCCCCTGCAACTCCTATTTTAAAGACTGGTGTCACAGCAGTGAGGAGGGACACACACTGGTAGCACTTTATTGAGGGGAGCCTTTTGGCTGCAATCTTCCACATTTCCACTGCACAAATCCTTGGACCCAACAATTCCACTTCTAAGAACTCACCTAGAGATGCCATCCTGTGCAAAGTGACTGTAAAAAGAATATTTCTTACGGTTCTACTTGCAATGGGAAAAGATGGAAAACACCCTGGGTCCATCAGCAGGAGATTCATAAATGCAGGTATATGCACACAAGGAAACTATGCAGCTATAAAATAAAGTGAGGAAGCGTGCTACCTACTCATACAGAGCAGTCTCTGAGATACATTGATAAATAAAAATAAATAGTTTCCCATGCATGTGGGAAATGTTTACATTTACATATCTTTAAATCTTTTTTTAAACTTTTTTAATGTTTATTTATTTTTGAGAGAGAGAGAGACAGAGCATGAGTGGGGAAGTGGCAGACAGAGAGGGAGACACAGAAGCCGAAGCAGGCTCCAGGCTCTGAGCTGTCAGCACAGCGCCCGACGCAGGGCTCAAACTCACGAACTGTGAGATCATGACCTGAGCCAAAGTCAGACGCTTAACCGACTGAGCCACCCAGGCGTCCCTACGTATCTTTATACCTGCAGACACTCTCTGGGAGGATTCCTAATATTCCAGGGAAGGGAAGAGTGAGGAGTGGGAAAGAAGGGTGGGAGAAACATTTTTTTGCTTTTTTTTTTTTAGTTTTTAACTGAAGTATAATCAACATACAGTATTGGATTCGTTTCAGTGTACAACCCAGTGATTCAACAATTCTATGTATTATGCACTATCATAAGTGGGAAAGGGCAGTGACATCTGTCACCATACAAGGTGATCACAATATTATTAACTATATTCCCAATGCTGCATTTTTCATGGGATTAAGAGGTACAAACTTCCAGGTATAAAATAAATAAGCCATGGAGATGAAAAGTACAGCAGAGAAACGTTTCATTTAAACCCTCTTGCACTATGTGAATCTTAATTCACATGCAAATATTCACAAATTCACAAATTCTTTTAGAAATGGATGGACGTGAACCCACGCTTATAGAGAGATGCCTTGACACAAGAAAGGAAAACTAGTTATATAAAAACTAACATTAACAAAAGAAAGGCAATCCACATGCGCGTGAGCAGAGAACGGTACGGAAGACACGCCCCCGACTGCTAATGAGCCACAGGAGACTCTGTGGATGGGGTAAGGAAAAGTGGTTAAACGTAAATATATTTTTGCTTGGTTTCACTCGTTACCCAAAGCCTGCTGTCATCTTTATAACTTAAAATATATTTGCAGGCTCCTGGGTGGCTCAGTTAAGCATCCGACTCTTGATTTCAGCTCAAGTCATGATCTCACGGTTGGTGAGGCACAGCCCAGCAACTCTCAATCCCTCTCTCTCTGCCCCTCCCCTGCACGTGAGCACACGTGCTCTCTCTCTGTCTCTCAAGATAAACAAAAAATAAAATAAATTTAAAATAAAATATTTAACATTTAAAACATTTAAAAATAAAATAAATTTAATAAAGATCATTAAATGAAACAAAAATGAAATCCGTAGGTGTGTAAATGCCTTTGGCATTTCAAAGCACTGTCAACCAACATTTATCAGGAAGGCAATCTTGGAATTCTAAGACCACAAAATTTGGAGCGGGGGATGATGGGAGTGGGCATCCGTTGCTTCTGTCCGGCTAGTCTGCGTTCCCCTCTTGCTGAAAAGAGTATTTCTACTTTCTTTGGGGAACCTTCCTTCTTGGGATCCCAGTCCATATGGTTCCAGTAAAGCTGGTTTCACCAACCCACTTCACCCGGGTTGCAGGGTGGGCACATGACCCAGGCCTGGCCACGGCATTTGGATCAAGGATAACGAGTGAGCCAGACTGGGTCCCCCAAGGACCCTCCCCAGCTACCCTTCCCAAGTGCTCAGGAGACAGCCCTCACTTCCCTTTTCAGTTGGGGGTGGGGAAGGGATATCATCAGAGCAGAAGGTGCCCAGGGCCAGCCCTGCTGCCATATGGGAGAGCTTGCCTGAGACTGAAGCCCATTGGAAGAAACCAGAAAACTCATTTTTCTTCAAGAGTCTTTTATTTATCTTGGGGACAGCACAAGCTGAGAAGGGGCAGAGAGAAGGGGACAGAGAATCTGAAGCAGGCTCTGTGCTGACAGGCTGACCAGCAGCGAGCCTGATGTGGGGCTAGAACTCACAAACCACAAGATCATGACCTGACCCGAAGTCAGACACTCAACTGAGTGAGTCACCCAGGTGCCCCCTGAAAACTCATTTTTAAGTTAACATTAATTTTATTCATCTTACTAATAAAGTGAAAGTTGCCTTCTTCTTGGTAAGTCTACGTTCCATTGCAACAGTGGCACAAAGTTACATCAAGCTAATGTATCAATGTTCCAATTCTCATTTGAAATCTCAATCTAGAGTTTTGGGAGTTTTTTAAGTTTATTTATTTTGAAAGAGAGTGTGTGCACAAGCAGGGGAGGGACGGGGCGGGGGAGGGGGGAGAGAGAATCCCAAGCAGGCTCCACACTGTCAGCACAGAGTCCAAGGTGGGGCTTAATCTCACAAACCATCAGATCATGACCTGAGCCAAAATCAAGAGTTGAACATTTAACTGACTGAGCCACCCAGATGCCTCTCAATCTAGAGCTTTAGAATCAAAAATGCCAAAAAGAATGTTTTTTCTCTAACTTACTTCTGAATGAAGAGGGTCTGATCTATCAGTGCATCAGAGCAAGGCTTTCGACTAAGATGTCTACAGAACTCTCCCGTCTATCTTTTTATTTTCTGACTTGTTTTAACCATTTTCTTTACCCAGGTACAAAAAAACAAAACCAAAAACACTTGAAAGAAATATATTTTGATGGATACACAATCATTCTTTGATTTCCAACACAAAAATTTTCCAGCCCCAGCTATGGAATCAGCCCTCTCTCCAAGGGGGAGCACTGACTGGTTCCTCTAAGTGGGAAATGGTATTTAGAAGCCAAGATTTGGGTGCTTGGTGTGCTTACTGATGTTGGGGTATCATCGTTTCCAATCCCCTCAGTGGACAACCTAGGCAATAGATGTGTGCATGTGAAATGCATCTATGTATATGTCGATGCACAAGCTTATGCCTATATTTATTTTTTCATCTATATGCATCGATAATCAATACCTCCAATCACAATCCAACACCATAGGGTTTATTCTATCCTTTTTTCTTCCCACATCTGTATCGCTCTTCTCAGGCAGTGAGAAAAACAATCCTCAGTATTTTTATTTATTTGCTCAATCTGCTGAATTTAACTTCCCAGTGCATTGGACCATTGTCCTGCTTGGATGCTCCCATCCCAGCCTCTGTTCCTGCTGGACTGACTTCTTACTCAAGCATCACTGCCTGTCTTGTGGAAATTTTCACATATGTCTGATTTGTACAAAGTTTTCTTACTTTTTGCCTATTTACCCTAATGAATAGAATTTCCTTTTTTCCTCATCCTTTCCTGAGTTCTGTCACCTCATTTTTGAGATTAAGTTGTTTTTTCAGATCCTGACCCATGTCAGTGGATTCTCAGATCCTAAACCCAGACATACTCCCATCTCTGCTTTGGTTTATAAAAATTAAATTGATCTAATGTCTGTGTGAAATGTCCAAAATGTTATTTTAAATTTTATTTCACTGAAATTAAAAAATGGAAGCCAGGGGCACCTGGGTGGCTCAGTTGGTTAAGCGTCCGACTTTGGCTCAGCTCATGATCTCATGGTTTGTGAGTTCAAGCCTCGCATCGGGCTCTGTGCTGACAGCTCAGAGCCTGGAGCCTGTTTTGGATTCTGTGTCTCCCTCTCTCTCTCTCTGCCCCTCCCTGCTTGTGCTCTGTCTCTCAAAAATAAACATTAAAAATTTTTTTTCTAATAAAAAAATGGAAGCCATATAAAATATTTTTCTGCTAAATATAACTGCTATTTTAATAGACCTACACTTTACTTTAAAATGAAATTTTAGGGGTGCCTGGGTGGCTCAGTTGGGGAGTGTCTAACTCTTGATTTCGGCTCAGGTCATGATCCCAGGATGATGGAATTGAGCCCTGTGTCAGGCTCCGTGGTTAGCATGGAGCCTGCTTGGGATTCTCTCTCTGTGTCTCTCCCTCTACCCCTCCCCCACTCACATGCTCACACATGCTCTCTCTCAAAAAACAAAGTAAATAAATAAATACAATTGAAATTTTAGCACCTGAATTGAGATGTGCCAAAAGTGTAAAATCCATACCACATTTCAAAGACTTAGTAGGAAAAAAAATAATGTAAAATATCCCATTAATATTTTTATACTGATTACATGTTTAAATGATAGTATTTTGCATATACCGGATTAAATAAAACACATTATTAAAATGAACTTCATCTGTTTCTTTTTAATGTTTATGTTTGAGAGAGAGAGAGAAAGAGACAAAGCATGAATGGGTGAGGGACAAAGAGAGAGGGAGACACAGAATCCGAAGCAGGCTCCAGGGTCCGAGCTGTCAGCACAGAGCCCGACGCGGGGCTCGAACTCATGGACCAAGAGGTCATGACCTGAGCCGAAGTAGAGGCTTAACCTATTGAGCCATCCAGGCTC